TATACCTAATAATGGAATTGTAGGATCGAATGGCAGGTCAATTTTTAGTTCTCTAAGTGTTCTCCAGATGTCTTTCCAAAAGGAACGTATTAGTTTGCATTCCCACCAGCAGTGTATAAGTGTTCCCTTTTCTCCACATCCACGCCAGCAACTCTGGTTTGGGGATTTTGTTATATGGGCTAATCTTGCTGGAGTGAGGCGATATTTCAGAGTAGTTTTGATTTGCATTTCTCTAATGGTTAAGGATGGTGAGCATTTTTTCATATATCTATAGGCCGCACACCTATCTTCTTTGGTGAAATAAAAGGAAATAAACATATGTTAGATGGCTACTGTTGCATTACCCTATTTCCACGGTCTCTCGTGTAGGATCACAGCAATGCTGTGAGGGAGGCATTACTTCACATTCCTACACTTGGGAGAGCCATTCAAAACATTCATTCACATCACAAGAAAAATTTAAAATCTCTGCTTCTTTACGAAAAATATAAACAGCTATATTATTTTAGGAATTCAGGAAATGCTGAGGAGAAAAAAAACCCCTCAAACTTTTAGGCATCAGTTCTAAATCAAAGAGTCTTGAATTGATATTTAATAAACCCAAGTTATATACTATGTTCAAATAAAATCAAAATGGGGGAAAAAAGATAGTTGTACTTTTACTTGAATTATCTGTACCGATGCAACTTGAATAAAACACGTACCTTAATATTTTCACCCTATCTTAGATACCTTTGTAATATAATATTAAAATTAAAAGTCAACTACGGTTAACATTGAGAAAAAGATTTCATGTGTTTTTGTTCGGTGGATGGGTTTGTGTGTTTTCGAAGGAGGGAGGAAGGAGTTAATTCTGGTCTTGTGCTTCTCCCTGGTCCAGAGCCCATGTCTGGTGTAATCTCAATCCTGTGTACAGGATGAGTTTCCCACTCTCTAATTTTAAGAGTCCTTCAGGTGCCCTCCACAATAATAGAAATGCCCAGCTTCTAGAGTCCTCAGAAGCAGTGATGAAGCATCTGAAGACAGTAAATGAGACCTCTGGCAGCATCAAAGTTAGCGTTCATATGATTTCAAAGCAACTACTTTGAAATATGATGCCGTGTTTATTGAAATTACTACTTCTAGAAAGTGCCAAAAGACATATTGTTTTGGTTTATGTAGATAAAGTTAATATCAATTGTGTTTTAAAACTTTTATGAGAATGTGATAATACTTAGAATTATAGGAATAATCTACAAAGTCAAAATAGCAAATAATTTTTAAAAATTAGTCTTTTTATTTTTGCTTCAAGAAAAATCTTATTTTTCTATTAAGACACAGTTCAAAAATTTATAAAAATATCTCTATCTATAAATATGTCCCCAGTCTATGAACATTTCCCTGGCTGACACATTTCTGCTGCTGATACAAGCTGAATATCCTTCCATTACAGTGCTCAGAACATGTTTTAACCATTTGTTACTTTGTCTGTTTGTCTCACTAGACTGGGTTCTGCTTGAAGGCGTAGGATCATATTACATCTTCTTTATCTTTAGTTTTTCAAAACCAAAGACTATCTTTAGTTTTTTCCTTTATAACACAAAGGAAATATCCAATAACGTGTCTTATGAATGCTAAATAGACAGCTGTGAGCATGCACAGGTGTCCCTATGCACAGGCACTGCGCTCCGCACTGGGGAGGATGTTAAGATCTGGCCCAGCATGGAGATTTCATCCAGGCTTGAAAATCCAGTAAGTTATAAACTTAAGAGTTAAATAATGATGTAAAACAATGGTATTGGTTGACAAAGGGCACACAGTTATAGTCCAATTAAGAGTAGGATCACTAAAAGCTATGACTGGGGCAGAGGGAGAAATCAATGATAATGGAAACCTTAATGAAAAAGGCACTTGAGACTGGCACTGTAGAAGGGAAAGAAGCAGAAATCGAGTGAACAGAAGTATCAAGGCAAGAAAGCACAAGGCTCATACAAGAACAGTGAGTATAACAGCTGGCTGGTCAGAAAACAGTCTGGATGCAATCACTACTCAAAGTGTGTAATGTTGTCCGTGAAAGATATCATATGCACAGTGGTGCAGGACAGTGAGTCAGAGAATTTCTGATGTCCCTTCATAATTTGCCAAGTTAAACAATGTAACAAAGCAGCAAATAAGAAACCATATAAGCCTATTAAGATGATTCTTATGGACAAAGACTTGCAGGCAGAATGAGGTACCATGTGGAGGAGGGAAAACCAACCTGCATTCACTGTGCTGATTATTTGCTAGGTAAATTACAGCTGCCACTCAGACCGGTGACGAGACTTGTCTAGGACCAGGTGTGTGTCTGTTCACAACACCACAAAGCCGCCATCAATTCATGAAGGTCAAGCTCCCACGAGAAGAACACTTCAAACACAGAATTCTTTCTATAATTCATTTCTGTAAGAAATGAGTTCTCTCTCCTAGCAGCAATAATCTGAAACAGTTGTCCTGTCAGACTTCATTCCTAACACCCGGTAAACCAAGTATTTGAGACGGACCATCTGCCGAATGGACAGTGACTAAATCTTAACCGTTTCAGTACATCTGTGTTTGACTTGATTCTGAATACAGTCGCTCAATCAACAATCCTTTTCCTGGCACCCACCCACTTATTCTTCTGTGCCTACAATTCAACTGGCCTGATAAGCAATTTTACCTAATTATCCTGTCAAGGCAGATACTGGAATACCTTTACTGACACATGATAAATACCAAAACCTCCCTTTTCAGTAAATTACAATGTGCTAAGATCTTTTATAGATGCCAGTAATCAATAATCCATTTTAATAGTTTCCATTGAAAGAAGCTGTTATCTTCCCTTTGGAAGAAGAAATGAAATCACTGCCTAGAAAACAATTTCAAAGAACTCACATTCAAGAGAGTAAAATGAAATACCACAAAGCCACTGAGGACTTTTCACTAATCAAACTAATGATTACCCTTAAAACCTGTTTAAGTGCTTTTTCCTGAACCAAATTTTAGCTATAAAGCGGCTTATATCTATAGTGCATATTTAACTTTCAGACATTAACTCAGAGAGAAGCTAGCATTAGTTGTACTCAATGCACAAGGAATAAATTATTAGTACTAATCCCATGATTAAGGTGGTCTGTAATGGATTCAAGTTGTCAATCACCCAAAAATGTGATTCAAGAATACCACACATCGAAAGACTTTATATTTGTATAAGAAAATAAATGTATTTAGATACATTTTTCTCTACCTAGTCTGCCACTGAATGATGATAGAAATCCACTAGCGGACTGAAAGGAATATTAGGAGGAGGAGGAGGAGGAGGGAAGGGAGAAGGAGAAGGAGAAGGCGGCAGCTTCTGGGGAAGGCTGAAGAGAGAGCAGAGGGGAGGACGAAACTAGGAAGGACAGATAATCTGTTGGCACTTGGGTTTCTGTCGCCCCGCACAGTTCTAATAGTAACCCTCTGTGGAAGAACATGTCACTGTAATTTTCTGAAGGAAACTAAAGCTTAAACAAAAATCACATAACTAATGAGAGGCGGAGACTGATTCCAAGTTGGGCCTTTCAGGTTTGGCTTTCTGCTACTATTCTATAAAGCAGATATTTTCATACTAAAATTCTATGTTGGGCTCAGGTCAGATGCAGTAGCTTGTAAGCATTTTGACCCCAAAAGCATGAAGATTTATGAATTCAAATGAGCGCCATCACCAAGTCTACCTTCCAAATTGTAATTGCTCCTGCCTAAGGAAATCAATCCAAGGTACTTACCACACAAGTGCCTCAGAATGAATGTGACGTGGCAGGCTTGATCTGCAATGCCGCCCGACAGCTCAACATATGAACACAAGCGCCTCAGAATGAATGTGACGTGGCAGG